GCTTTGGTCAATTAGTGGAGTTATCGCTATATAAATTATGTTATGTATGTTATGTTATGTGTCATGTTTGCATAAACAATACAGGAATGATTATTCTTGTATTGCTTACAACTAATTATTATGAGTATCAAATTGTCTAAAGTAATTCAATCTATAAATTAGAGGACTGGAGAAGAAATTAAAGGGTCTTAAGTTACTGTGAGAGTTTTTGTGGGGGGTGGGGTGGGTCTGTGGCTAATATTATTGAGCATGGGTTATTACACAATTTATGAGAAATCATGCATTCTGGAAATAGAAAACTAAAAAAGTAATAACTACGAGACAATTTGAACCTCTTAAAGATTTTAATGATGTAAAGTGACTTGAAGCGACTAAAGGCGACCTAAGGCGACTTTAGGCGACTCAAGGCGATTTTAGGCGACTTAAAGTCCCAGAGTAGGCCTTCCGTTACAGGGAATTATCTTCAGAGACATCAACAGCACTCAGAACTAATAAAATAAATAGGTCCAACGATATCGTTTTAATCCAAGAACATAACCAGAATGCAACCGGAACATATAACCAAAGAATATTTTACAAGGGACGAATATTTAAGCCGAAAACACAACTCTAAAGGGTTATTTAAAGCTATTAAGAATTCTTAACTAAACATTATCTCATACATTTTAGAAGGCTCGATTGGCTATAACAGAATTCATCGTTTACAACATTATAACTTTCAAAACAATACAGGTAGATAACAGTTCAACAAAAGACTATCGCAGGCAGTAATTACAGTTCAACGCTTTATATAAAAAAAAGTTAATGATGTGATTTTCTCCCCTCACAATCCAAACAATCAACTAATGAACACCGGAAATAATGCATCTGATTTTCTCAGAAAGGGGGTGGTTTCGGAGAAAAATAATGACGCAATCAAATCGCTTTGAACTGCCGTCTTTTTTCTAAGAAAACGAAGTCGCCATCGGCAAAGACAGAGGTCTTATGTTTGCCATTCAAAGAATGAAAGAAAAAGGAAGGTTTTTCTTTCGGCTTTTCAGTGATTTTAGTTAAACAGGTAGAATTTGGAGCAAGATTATCCAACCCCAGATGGTTTGTTTGCGAAAGGTATTTGCTTACCAGCCTTCTTAGCTATAATTGGCTGTCAATTAAACCTGCTTATTCTCTTTAACAATGCATGGCTAAGCAATTTGCAATAGCAACTAGAAGTTTCGATAAATTCCAAGAAAAGGAGGCCTTTTCCGGGTTATTATCGGAGAGAATTTCCCAAAACATAATTCTAAGACTATTTTTAAAACTCTAAGAAACTTTAAAATGAATCAGCATAATATATATATTTAGCCAAGCCTAAAAGCGGAGCTCCAAAATTATTTTTTTTATTTATATCTAGTCTGCTTATCGTATGACCAATGGAACGAAAACAAGAGTCATTTTGAGTATATTATCCCTTATTTCGACTTATCTTATGTATGTTTTATATTAGTTAAAATATAAAACCGGAACAGAAATCACAAAGACTTTCGGTCCGGTCTTTCCGAAACGGAAGTCACTATGTCAATCACTCAATCAATCAATCAATTTATTTACTTCAATATGTGGGATAGGGGTTGCCCCGATTATCCGAGCCAGAGGCTCATGTATAAAACGAGTGACAATAAAAATACTTAGTTAATAAAGATACAATACATTTGAATAAAAAATAATTTAAAAAGATCACAAATGTATAAAAACAAATAACAATAATATATCCGTTAATGCTCAAAGCTACACCCTCCCGTATCCCACTGAATAAATTAAAAACTAAAAACCGTAAGAATAAGTTTAAAACCCTATGGGAAAAAAACAGATATAGTAAAACCCCAAGATATACAAAAATTTCATTTACAATTGGCTCTCAAGATTGTAAGATTAAAAGATCTAAAGTGCTTACCATATTCATTCAACTCAGTCGATCTTTTAATGTAAGAAGGAAGTTGATTCCACAAATGCGAAGCCTTGTAAGTGAAACAATTGTGATAATGTCGATTATTATAGGATGGTTGAATGAGATTGTGATCGCGGTTCCTTAAATTGTAGCGCAACATACGAGTTTCGAATAAATCAGAAATATAGTGAGGCCCATTTCCTTTCAGTTATACATTTAAAAAGGAGGACAAGAGATTGATAGTATCGTCTATGTTCCAGTGATTGCATGTTTACAGCAGACAATATGGAACCATAATCTAAGCTGTCTCCGAAATAATAAGGTCCTTCCATCCAAGATGGCGGGGAGAGTTATTTTCGGATTGTATACATGAACAGACGTGAACACTACTAATGTTTGGTTCTAACGCAAACCTTGGGAATTGCGTTGAATGAGTCGAACACTAAAGGAAAATCTCCAATTCAGTAGCGGCGATAACAGGGGATGATGTTGGCGTTATACCGATTTGTTTGATCGAATGAAATGTAAGATCAAGCCACATTTTAATACACAAGATCATACGTATTCTTGCTGTGAAGGTAAGTTATCACCTTAAATACAATGATTTTAAGCTATTTTCTCAATCAACCAGTCAAAGCGCTTCTACAACGTGTGAAGTGTTTTAAATTAGAGCTTATTAATTAGTGCATAGCACAGGCCATCCAGTTAGGGGGGGAATACTGAAAAGGCTATAGACATTCTTGATATTGCTTACAACTTAAGGCTTATTTTTCCATGTTAATGCCTTTGCTTTAAGACCGTCGATTTAGGCTTTGATGGAATTTTTTTGGTCGTCGACTTAAGGCTTCTTTTTCCATGGTACTGCCTTTTGTTCAAGGCCGTCGGGTTTAGGCTTTCATGAACTTTTTTTTTCTTTGTCGACTTAAGGCTTCTTTTTTCGTGTTACTGCCTTTGGTCTACCCCCGTCAGGTTTAGGCTATGATGGATTTTTGGTGGTTGTCGACTTAAAGATTCTTTTTAAGTGTTGCTGCCTTTGGTTTAAGGCCGTCGGGTTTAGCTTTGATGGATTTTTTTTGTTTCTTCCTCTCGCCCTCATGGCCTCTGAGTCAATAGCCCTTGCGGACGAAGACCGAATGGGCTATTCACTCAGAGCCCATTCGGGAATAATTGTTATTAGTATAAAACAGTGGATAGCGTTTTTCACGCGCTCTGACTGGCTGCTCAAACTAGGGAAATCCAGTGCTATTCACCTCAGAGCGAAGCCAAACTCGTGTTAGTTACGAGCAAAATGGCTTCCAGATTAGCTATTGTACCAAACGAAGAAATTTCACAAATAAACCAAGAAGCTGTTCCCGACAACAAATGTGTGCTTTGGATAGCTATAAAACTTAGCTATAAAACAAATCAATTACTTAGAATGTGGCTTAACTTGTGTAGGCTGCAGGCCCCTTGTGGTACATAACGAAATTTTAAGTCTAAATTCAGTATTCTCCAAATGTCTATTGTAAAAGGTAAAATTTATTTGGATCGTTTTCATTTTTCTTTTTTCTTTCTAAAGGAAATCCAGTTGAAATCCTAGTTGGTATTTCGGTACGGCATCGTTTTCCAGCATCAAGGAAATGGATATGGCGATACATTTTTAACCTGGAGGTGAAGCTCCCTTTTCTTATGGTTATGTAATAGACCTTCTTCACGATACCCGCCATCTTTGCAACAACAACAACAAACTTTATTAATAAACAGATAATATTACAGAAGCACTTCCCCCAGCTAGCAAGGCTATTCGAGTCAGGACAGTGCTAACTAAGGAAAGTTTACAATTGTAAATTTAGAAACGAGTAAGCAAGAATTTATTATCCAACATTTTGCAGATTTTGGGCTAATTTACCTTTTTAATTAAGGTGGGCGTATCAATATTGTCGTCTTCCGAATTTAAAATATCCAAAGGTAATTTGCGGAGTGTTTTTGTTTTTTTTTTTTTAATTTATATATTCTCAGGGAGATGCCGGATGTGACACGCGGTTTAGGCTCGACGGAATAAAAGCAATGTCACATGGTATTTCGAAGGGCAAACAAAAGATAACATTTGCCAATGCCAGTAATCGTGGTCTAGTTTGCTTATTCTATCAAAACCAGACCAAGACTTAATAGTCTTGCAAGGAGTACAGTTCAATTTGCGTCATAATTTTTTGCTGTGAGGACGACTACGTCGCTACTCATCATCCAAAGAAGTAACACAGTCACTTCCATCCATAATTTGCCATCAGTATCGTCTTTACTATGAAAAGTTCTCCATTTTCTGTTGTCTACAATAGGCAAACTCGACCGCGATTTCATACATTAGCAATTTCTTTTACTTCGCGTTTCGGAGCTCTCTTTATTCCTTCGATTTATGAGAAACAGGACTGTATAAGCGAGTTTCTTTAGCGCCAATTCATTTTTTTGCTTTTTCTTCGTGATAATAGCCCAGCTTATAAGATTTCCCTTTAACAGGTCAAATTTACCGGACGAAAACCTCTCAAAATACGAACACTGAATCTTGCGATTGAATTTGCATCCTTAAATATTGCTATAACAGCGACATATTAGTCACAGCTTCTCTATTTGGACGGAGTCCTTGAATTCAGAACGCATATTTTCTCATCGAAAATTGTTTACCACGAGCTTCCCGAATTCGACGCAAGTACGCCGTCTGAATCAGCGGTCCTCCAAAGTCGCTCCAAAGTCGCTCCAAAGTGGAACTCAATCGAGTTTGGTTCGGCACATGAGAGTGGAGCGCCGTTTCGACTCGGCCTTAAGGTCCCAGGGTAGGCCTTCTTTGCTTATCGGTTAGCTAGCGTTTTCAGCAGGTTCTTCACTCTTCTGTTTCCTTTGTGTTGTGTGGTCGGTGAGGTTATTTCACCGAGCATGAGCCGCAACAATGCTTTGGAAAAAGTAATGCGACACAGCTTGCAATTATCCAAATTTCGCAGATAACCGGCTCTCAGCACCAAGTACTGAAAAATGAAAACTAAGGCATCGCCGGTTAAATAAGCTCGCTTAAAGTTGTCAAACAGCTTTTTCTGTAACTTGAAGTTCAGTTTCTTCTGCAGTATTTACAGCCGTTGTGGTAATACCACACTGGAATATATTTCTTATTCCATTTCCCTGAACATTCCAAACACTGTCTTTTTGATCCAGGGCGACCAAGAAGATGGAGACACAAACGCCTGCATTCGCTACACCTGTGATGAGCCAAAGCCCTGCCTCCTCTTACATGCCCATGGATTTCTGGTTTCACAAATTTGGGACACCACTCTACATTTGTAATGTCTTCCAAAGAAATGACATGATGCTCTTCGATTTTGAGCATTTCTTCGACCTTTTCTATAAGCGACTTTGGCCATGGTCGACTGTTCTCGAAGTTGTTCCTGTCTACGACGATCTTTCCATTCTTGAATAACTTCTCTTTTTGTGATAGTTCGTTGTTTTGCTCGGTGTTTCTTGCGTTGTCCCCGATGTCATCACTTCGATGCCGCTTCGGTTGTTCACTGTTGCTTCTTTGCTTCGTGTCGAAAACACTTCGCGCACTTTGCGATATCTGATGAAATACTGAGACCGCATAGCGTTTGTAATCTCTGTGAAGGATTTTTTGCCGGTGAAACTTTCTCGTCAAAAGAAAGGAGTTGCTTGCGAAGCCCTTCATCACTGTGTGTACTCAAATCGATTGAATACTTTTTTTGTTAGCGCGCATATCCAGAAAAATCAACTAACAAACACCGGAAATGACGCATTCGATTTTCTCGGAAAGCGAGTGTTTTCGGAGAAATTTAATGACGCAATCAAATCGTTTTCAATTGACAAAAACAAAGCCGCCATCAGCAAATACAGAGGCCATATGTTTGCCATCCAAAGAATGAAAGAAAAAGAAAGGTTTTTCTTTCGGTTTTTGACTGATTTTAGTTAAACATGTAGAATTTGGAGCAAGATTATCTAACCGCAGATGGTTTGTTTGCGAAAGGTATTTTCTTACCAGCCTTCTCAGCTATAATTGGCTGTCAATTAAACCTGCTTATTCTATTCAACTATGCATGGCTAAGCAATTTGCACTATCAACTAGAAGTTTCGATAAATTCCAGGAAAAAGAGACCTCTTCCGGGATATTACCCGAGGGAATTTCCCAAAACATAATTCTAAGAGAAGTATTGTAAAACACCAAGAAACGTTTTTCTTTCAAGTCTTCTTCAAATTCGTGGTAAACGCGGATGGTTTTTCTCAGAACACGAGATTGAATTCTTTTCACGGTTAACACAGCAATTCACCTGAACATCGAAATGATTTCTTCGGAGTTTTTCTTGGCGATTTGTTCATCTTTATGGATTGGAGTGAAACTTACTGTATTTTTCAAGAGAAGTTTCCGGTGGAGAGAACACTTTTTTTCCCGTTTAAGATTGAATAGCGCGAGTCTTATTCTCATCGCTGCGCAGTTTTTGGTGCCGAAAGTTTGGTTATTGCAGATGATAACAGCAGTAATAGCTATGGTCTCGGCTATCACGGACATGTATTTGATGATGTCTAATCTACGGGAATTAGTCAAGTCCTTGGTGCTTGGTGCCTACATAATTGTATCCTGGGAGAGTGAACGCGGTTCATATATTTTACCCTTATTTTCCGTGTTTTTTGCGCTAACTCAGTTCGTGCGATGGCCAAGTAGCCTGAGAGATTTCCTCAGAAAAGTGCGAATAGTCTGTGGCCCTGCCTTTCTTCTTTCCGTCTTCGCAACATGGCTGAAACAGAGTGAGCCCTCTGGCTCGTCATCCTATGTTCTCGTTGCCGTACTCTGTTCCTTGGTAGCCGCCATCTTTTTTCGCCCCGACAACTCTGAAGTTTTGGTCTCGTTTCATCTGCCAGTCCCCAGCTTGAGAAATAGGAAAGTTTATCATGCAATATTGATGGTTTTCAGTCTCCTTTTTTTGACAGTGCATATTTTATTGCATCAAACTTTTCCTTCCATTTACTGTAAACCTGTTTGCTTCTTGGTGGTCATACTGTGCGTATGTTTCTTTTTTGGCGCCACTGAAACCGCGCGCCGCGCGTATCATTGGATCGGCCGTTTTTTTCCGGGAAACCGTGACCGTGACTGACAATAACGATAAATTTACAATTGATGAGTAAGCACTTCTGTAAAAACCTGGGGAAACTCGCTGGCCGCGGGGATCAGTACCGGAATTTGTTAGGCTTACTATGGGACCTTAAGTCGCCGTAATTTTAGGCGACTTTAGGAAAATTTGGTCAAACTTTTGAGCGACTTAAAGGCGATTTAAGGCGAATTTAGGCGACTTAAGGAGAAAAAGCTGACACTTAGGTGAATTACATGTTAGTTAATATGTTGCAGCTATTTTATTATGTCAGTTAATTTTTGGTTCAATGATTATTATTGTATTGCTTGCGACTAATTATTATGTGTATTAAATTGCCAAAAGTAATTCAATGTATAAATTAGAGGGCTGGAGAAAAAATTAATGGGTCTTAAAAGTCATCAATCTCGGAAGAAAATTGGCTACAATATTTCCACAATCTTCATTCAAATGAACCTCTTCACCCAGCGCAGCAAAACATTTGCAATGAGCTACGACAAAATGAATACCATGGTCAACACTCTCGTCCTTTAGATTTCATGATAACTGAAAGAGAAATACGTAAAGCTGTGGAAAAGTTAAAGAATATTAAATCACCATTTTCGGATAAAATTAGAAATGAAATGATAAAAGCTAGTATTGATATACTGATGCCCGTATATGAAAAATTATTTAATTCGATTCTTAACCAAGGGACCATGCCACAGACTTGGTGTGGTGGTCTTATTACTCCCATTTATAAATCGGGCGGACGAAGCGATCCGGCAAACTACCGGGTTATCTGTGTCTCCAGCTGCCTGGGAAAACTATTTTGTTCTATCTTAAACCAACGACTTCTCGAGTGTATCGTTTCTTTGAATATACTCCACAAATCTCAAATTGGCTTTTTACCGAATTACCGCAAAGCAGACCACGTCTTTTGTACGTATTATGTACTCTCCGAACCTTGATAGATAAGTACGTTCATATAATCACAACGAAAAGATCTATGTTTGTTTTGTAGATTTCAAAAAAGCTTTTGACACGGTATGGCATGACGGGCTCTTGAATAAGCTGTGAAAATTGATGTTGGTGGTTCTTTTTATAACTTAATTAAAAGCTTATATCACAACTCTTCCTGTCCAATTAAAATTGCCCAAAACAAACGCGATCAAAGCGTTATGCGAGAGGTGTGCGGCAAGGCTGTATCTTAAGTCCACTGCTTTTTAATCTTTATATTAACGACCTACCTTTCGCATTTGAAAATACATTATCTGATCCTTTTATTTTGCCAAACGGTGCAAAACTTAATTCTCTATTATGTGCAGACGACTTCATCATTTTATCACGATCCAAAACAGGACTACAAAATTGCCTCGATAATCTATCTTCATTCTGTACTTCATGGATGATGAAAATCAATCCCAAGAAAACAAAAATTATGGTTTTTCAGAAACGTGCGAGAAAAAAATGCTCAGATTTTCACTTTCTCATAGATAGTCAAATAATTCATGTTGTACAAGAGTACACTTACTAAGGAACTCGAATGTCCTCATCGGGAAATTTTTCAGTGTCACGTGAACATCTCAAGGAGAAAGCTCTTCATGCCCTCTTCAGCTTGAGACGGCACACAAATCTTAGCAAACTAACAGCAGCTCTCGCCTGTAAAATGTTTGATACTACGATCTCCCCTATTCTAACACATAACAGCGAAATTTGGGGTGTGTATGCCAAACCAGATTTTAAGACCTGGGACGGCTCACAGGTCGAGAAGGCACACCTTCAATTTTGAAAACGATACTTAGAGATAAACAACAAAGCTTCTAATATAGCTTGTAGAGCAGAGCTTGGTCGTTTTCCTTTAAATATCACAATCAATCAAAAAATTCTCAAATACATATTGTAAATACAGTCTTAAGATGAGGAATCTCTTGTCAAACAAGCTTTTTTAATTTCATTCGACTTACACTGTAATGACAAAAATAGCTTCCACTCTCATTTAATGAATATGTCAGAATACTTTAAGCTTCCTGACTTTAACCCTAATTTATTAGATATAGCTATGGTAAAAAGCTATGTAAGTTCAATGAAACAAGAATATATCTCATATTGGCAAAACACCCTTCAACATTCTAAAAAACTTGAATTTTTAGATCTTTTAAAACCGATCATACCTCCTCTAGTCACTTAGACTTAACAAGAGGAACAGCTGGGAGAAGGGCTTTAGTAAAACTACGAATAAGTAAGCACAAATTACTGATAGAAATAGGCAGATACAATCCGAAACTACGAAGGATAATAGGCATTCCCCTTTCTGTGGATGCAATGTAATAGAAGACGAAGTTCACTTTCTTTTTCAATGTCCTACATACTCTATGATTAGGAATAAATTTTACTTTAAAGTCAGGACTCTGATTCCAAATATTACCCAGTTACCTATAAACGGTTTGATCAATGGACTGATGAACTCTTCTAATTACTTTATCAATATACAATTCATAAAAAATATTTCAGCTTGTTTTGATGTTCGTGACAAATTATTAATTGCATGTCCTGTGTTGTAATTTTGATTTCTAAAAATAGCTTTTGCAATACTATATGTGCTTGTATGGTCATGCAAATAAAGCTCGTTGTTGTTGTCGTTGTTGTTGTTGTTGTTGTTGTTGTTGTTGTTGTAAGTCACTGTAAGAGTTTTTTGTGGGGGGGAAGGGGGGTAGCGTGGGTCTGTGGCTAATATTATTGAACATGGTTATTTCACAATTTATGAGAAATCATGCATTCTGGAAATAGAAAACTAAAAAAGTAATAACTACGAGACAATTTGAACCTCTTAAAGATTTTAATGATTTAAAGTGACTTGAAGCGACTAAAGGCGACCTAAGGCGACTTTAGGCGACTCAAGGCGATTTTAGGCGACTTAAAGTCCCAGAGTAGGCCTTCCGTTACAGGGAATTATCTTCAGAGACATCAACAGCACTCAGAACTAATAAAATAAATAGGTCCAACGATATCGTTTTAATCCAAGAACATAACCAGAATGCAACCTGAACATATAACCAAAGAATATTTTACAAGGGACGAATATTTAAGCCGAAAACACAACTCTAAAGGGTTATTTAAAGCTATTAAGAATTCTTAACTAAACATTATCTCAGAAAATATAGAAAAAAATAGAAAACTAAAAAAGTAATAACTACGAGACAATTTGAACCTCTTTAAGATTTTAATGATTTAAAGTGACTTAAAGCGACTAAAGGCGACTTCAGGCGATCTTAGGCGACTTTAGGTGACTTAAGGTCCCAGAGTAGGCCTTCTGTTACAGGGAATTATCTTCAGAGACATCAACAGCACTCAGAACTAATAAAATAAATAGGTCCAACGATATCGTTTTAATCCAAGAACATAACCAGAATGCAGCCGGAACATAAAACCAAAGAATATTTTACAAGGGACGAATATTTTAGCCGAAAACACAACTCTAAAGGATCATTTAAAGCTATTAAGAATAGGCCATTTGCACTAAGAGGTCATGTGACATAGTTATCATGAAAATGAAAGTTATATGATTTTGCCTTCGAAAAACGATTAG